CCGCGGCGCCCGCTTCCCGCCGCCGCTCAATCACGCCCCCGAGGTATGCATTCAGCGCGCGGATGTTGGCGTCGTAGCGCCGCACCAGCGGCGGCCAGAGCAGGCGCCATGGCTGCAGCACGCGCTTGTTGCTCTCCTCCATCACCGACAGGTAGAGGGGGGGGAACACGCGGTCGCACTCCTCGGGAGGGAGGCTCAGGATGGCCTCCCCGATCACCTGCAGCGTCAGCAGCCTGAACTCCTCCTCCATGTCCACTGGAGAGTGGTGTTTATGAGGGTGGGGGGGAGGGAGGTTGCGTCATGGGCAAAACTCCAAAAGACAGTGCAGAGGTGCCGCCCCGGAGTCGTGCGCCGGCCTGGCCCAGCGCTGCCTCGAGTTGCCCCATTCGTGTCCCCCTGTCCTCCTCCTGGTCCTCGCGTCACGGTCCTCACCTCCTCCCCCTTTCCCCTCCACAAAAAGCTCCAAAACAAACCATCCACACCTGGCTGCCCGGTGCCCTTGTGCTTGCGCAGCTTGGTGGCCAGGCGCTCCACGGCCCGGGCGGCGATGGGCAGGATGGTGTCCAGCATGTCAATCCGGAAGGCTGGGGCCATGAGCAGCCGCTGGCGCTGCCAGTGGTCGCCGTTGGAGGTGACCAGGCCCGTGCCCAGGATGGGCAGGAACTCGCGGTAGGAGAAGTCGGTGTCCTTGGCGTAGATGCGCTGCCGCGTCTGCACGATGCGCTTGAAGGCGGCGGGGTCGGCCACGATGACGCCCGTGCGCGTGCCCACCCGGAAGCGCACCACGGGCATGGCGGCGCTGACCCAGTCGTACATCTGGCCCCAGGAGCAGCCCCGGGCCAGGGTCAGGGCGTGGCCGAACAGGGGGAGGTTGCCGGGGGCGGAGGGGATGGCGCGGGTGGCCCACCACACCCGGGCCCAGCGGTCGGCCTCCAGCCAGCGCAGGAGGAGGAGGGTGCAGGTGCTGGCCAGCAGGGCGTAGGCCACGCTGAGGGCGCTTGGGATACTGAACGAATCCCATACCTCCATGGGTGCCCGGGGGAGGCCAGGGCAGGGTGGGAAGGGGGGGGCTGGTGCGGGGGTGGTGGTGTTGAGGCTACGTGGCCTCGCTCCGGCTTTCAAAGCTACAATGTAGGAAGCAGGGACCTCGCGTGTGGCACGAGCCTCGGATAAATAAAGCCACTTATTTTCAAATCCATGCACCTCTGCTTCAGGTGGGAAGACAACATGCAATGTGGTGCAAACTACTCCTATGCGCCAGTATTTGATGATCGACGTCGAATGCGCCACGCGGGGACAGCATGCGGGCAGCAGGCCCTTGCTCACTTGGAATACGAGCCGGAGCAGAGTTCGATCCACCATGTGAGAGACCGTGCTGATGTTGAGAATCAGACGCGCCCATCGCCGATGCTGATTATGAAAGGGGCTCCACAGCGCGGCCAGACTACCCCAGAGTGATCCCCCTGAGAGTCGAGTTTGGGAATTTAGCGGATCTCATAGCAGATTACTGAGCGAAACAAATCAATTCCTCTTAAGGAGATCCTCGCAACCCATCTGAGGAGGGGCTCGCGGCTCCTGCTCTCACACGAGGGACAGTGCCCATGTTCAGCAGCAGGACCCAAGGGGGTGTGGTTGATCGGTCCCTGGTGCGACCCCGCGTTGAGGTACGATGCGACAGGGCACCCTGTATGCGTCGGATTACATTGATGAGACGCTTTATTTGAGACGGCTCAGGTCTGGTCTCCACAGACGATTATGCCTCCCCATCGACAAGCCCACAGGTCAACCTGAGCACCTTTTCCTACCTGTTCAGCGAGCTCATCCAGTACTGTCAAGCGCGCGTATCAAACATCGGGGAGCTTGAGCGGAGGTGGGTGCACTTTTTGTGGGGAAGCTCCTCTGATGTCTGTGCAGTACCTCGCTTTTGCACTGAGTCGGCTGCCCGCCCTGAGCGACGTCTCCTGCTGTGGCAGCACATCGAGCTTCCCCATCACACACCGCATGCACAGGCTGGACATTGTGGGATTTGGCGTGGGCGTGCGCCTGCTGGAGCTGCTGAGCTATCGCGAGCGCAGTAGCCGCCGCGACCTGAAGCTGCTGGATGCGCTGCGATTCGTGCACACCACCCTTTGGCGGTACCTCTTTGGCCGCCCCGCCAAGGACCTGGAGCAGAGCAATAATGTACGTGCTGGGGCTCGTGTGTGGCTGGCCCGGCTGCCGCGATGCCTTCTGAGCCAGAGATGGGCAGATGCGCAGGAATCCAACCGCCACCTTACCCCATGGACCCTTCCCCCCTTCCCTCTCAGGCTGAGGACGAGTACATGATCTCCGACGTCGACCTCTTTATCACCAAGTACATCAGCGTGCCCAAGGAGATGGGGCACCTGAACTGCGCTGCTTTCGTGGCGGGGATCGTGAGGGGCGCCCTGGATGGCGCTGGCTTCCCATCCAGGTGGGTGGGCGAGGTGTGCAGGGTAGGAGCTTACTGAGGGAACGCGAGTGCAGGGGCTTCGGTCTTGGCATCCTCTGTCCCTGACATGCTGAATTAAGTTGGCATTGTCAGCATGTTACCGAGGACCCACCACTTCTACTCACGATTGCAGGGTTACAGCCCACAATGTGGCCGTGCCGGGGCAGTCGCAGGCCAAGACCACGCTGCTGATAAAGTTCGATGCCTTGGTGCTGCAGAGGGAGCAGCGGCTGCCCTCCAGCTGAGGAGAACAGGGCAGGACGGAGCGCAAACCCTCACAACTCTCCAACAAAAGGGGGTGGAATCTCCCAATGCACCCCGCGCGCGCGCGCCCGAAGGCGCCCAGCTCGAGCACTGATGCAATGCATGCATGTTGCGCAGCCCTCGATACGCATTATAATATTAAACTAGTATCATGCATCGCATGGAGATCCAGAGGAGATGGCCGACAGGCTCCGATAGCGGAGGGGAGTCCTCCCCGGTTAATACTCCTGCCGTCGAGGCCACGACAACAGGGGCTGCAGAGCAAGCTACATACCCAGAGACGCACATCACATCAGCACCCGAGATGTACGATGTGACCAAGCTCGTGCATGGACTGAGGCGCATGGGGTTCACGACGGACATCGAGGCCCTGCCGGCAGGAGACCCAGCACTCCAAAACTCCGTCGTCCCGGAGATAGCGGAGAGTGCCGCTTCCAGCATCGCTCAGCAGGCTGCTGCCGCGGCCAAGCACGCTTCAGAGGCCCTGGAGGCGCTGCTCGCCCTGCATCCCACCCACCCAGCGGGCGCCATGCTGGCTTCGGCAGCCCAGGCTGCTGCCGCTGCGGCTGTCAGGCTGCTGACAGGGGAAGACGTGGGCGAGGAGGAGGAGGAGGAGGAGGAAGAGGCCAACGAAACGACTGCTCATCACCACCATCATGAGGGGTGCAGAGGTCATGACTGTGAGGAGGAGCATGTTCACACAGGGCAGGAACCCCCTGAGCTCGTCCTGTCCTCAATCGGAAGGCTGCAGCTGCGGATCAATGGTGCTGAGGTGGCGTGTACCTGGGACCAGCCTCCTGGATCAGGTGCTGGGGGCTGGTGAACGCTGAAGCAGGGTTGCATGTGCATTTGGGAGCTTCACATTGCGGGAGGCAATGTGCTCCCCATGCAGTCGCATGATACTGAATCGGTGGACTGAGAGTCGTGCTCGTTCAAAGATGCCACCTGCCCTGCACCACTTAGGATGCCTGCTGCGCACTTCATCAGGCAAGCACCCATCTGAAACAAGCTGCCTGCCCCCCACCACAGACAAATGATTGACATGCTCACTCCTTCTATTGCCACACAGATACAATTACACTGGCTCCATGCGCTGACGGGGCCGGCAGTCCAGCCTCAAACAATTCCATCCATTGGAACGTCAGGCAGGCGTCAGATGGCCTCAAAGAGGCCTTGGAGAAGCTGCTGAACGACGCGGTCGCAGTGCAAACTGCCCCAGGAAAGAGGTCTCTGCCCACCGAGCTGTGCACCCTGTCCCTTCCAGCCCCTGATGGCGACGGACCATCAACCTCGAAGACCTCCGTGAGCGACCCCGCAACCCAAGCGCCCAGCGCACCCAAAGCTGTCCCAGGGCCGGCCGGCCCCTCTGTACCCCCCTCGCTGCAGGCGCAGGCGCTGACCTGGCGCGACATCACGGGGGGCGCCCCCGAGCTGCAGGGCATCCTGGACGGCATGCCCGAGGGCGACCTGGCCCTGGTCAGCTGGCAGGCCGACTGGGTGCCCGCCAGCCTGGCGGCCGAGGCGGCGCTGGCCCTGCGCCCGCCGCGCGGTGTGGCGGCGCTCCTGCGCGTGCGCATCGAGGCCACGCCCGCCAACCGCGCGCTGGCCGTGCGGCGCGTGGCCGCGCTGCCGCAGGCCAAGCGCAAGAGTGCGCGGCTGGTGCTGCGCTCTGGCGCGCACTTCCCCGCGCTGGGCCTCTGCGTCGCCCCATCCATGCAGCAGGAGCTGGCGGAGGGGGAGGGCGCGCTGCGCGCCACCGTCGCCGCCGTGGAGCGCGCGGTGGAGGTGCGCCTGGCGGACCTGGTGCGCTGCGCGCTCAACGCCGGCACGGGGGGGGTGACCGGGGGCCTGGCGACGCTGGACTCTGTGGCGCCCGCCCCGCAGCTCCTGGGCTTGGTGAAGGCGCGGGACGAGGTCCCGCTGCTCTTCGTCTGGACGGAGGGCGGCGCGGCCGAGCGCGACACCATGGAGGGCATCGCAACGGAGGTCCAGGGTGCGTGGTCGTGGACCCTGGCCGGTCCTGAGAGCAATGGTGCAGGGAGGGGTGCTGTGCGAGGGGGAATGACAAGATGAGGAGGGTGGGTGAGGACCCACGGGAGGAGCAGCGCATTTATCTCAGTCCATGAGCGCCTGCCGTGTGACCGAGGGACGTGCAAGCTCATGGACCCCAGCTGTGTGACAGGCTGCAGCCCACGCCATGCGCTGTGCACGAAATGACACCCCACATCAGTTTGTGCACACCTGGCACTTCAATGACATTCCATGGCTCCACATCATCAACCCCCACGCCTCTCACACTCTCCCCTCTGTGCAGGCACGGTGCGCGTCGTGCATGCAGACACCTCTGCCTCGCCCCAGCTCCAGAAACTGGCCGCCTCCCTTGGTCTGAAGCGCTTCCCTGCCCTCCTGGCTTTTGCCGAGGGAAAGGAGGTGCTGCGGCGACAGGGCGAGAGGCTCATCCCAGCCTCTTTGCGGCACACGTGCGTCACGCTCCTGCTCTCTCGGCCCCCCGCGGCGGGGACCGTCCCGCACACACCGGCGAAACAGGCTGAGGAGGACGGCATAGCCCCGTCTCTGGCGCCGGCCTCGGCAAGCAAGGCGATCGAGCAATCCGCCAGGGTCAGCGCCCCAGGTGAGACGCTCCCAGCAGCGGCAGCAGCAGCTGGCGGCGGTTCATCCTCCCCTTACCCAGAAGCGTCCTCGCCTGCTTCCGTGTACGACCCTCCCGAGGCTCGTCTCGCAAAGCCGGGGTTCACTCGCCGCATGCCAGACGGCGAGACGGTGCACTACTTCCCCAAGATGCCCTGCCTCAGGTATGTATGGGGGCCTCAGGGTCTCCACCTGGCGCGACCCAGGGTGGAAAAAGACGGTGGCATCGACGGTGGGCCTTCCAACATGCCGTGTCCCCTCGCCCATCCCCACCAGGTGTGGCTGCCCATGGTGGACGTCAGATGAATGGAATGCCAGGTGCATCCGCTGCAGCTGGGACTGCGAATCGACGGGGTACGACGACGACTCCCAGCCTTTGCCAAAGTACAAAGGCAAGTGGGCAGCATTTGTGGCCCAGATCACCGCGGGCAAAACAGCGCCGTGGAGTGGCAAGCGATGAAGTGGGGGAACACACATGAAAAGCGCATGCCCTGACCCTCCTGTGCTGCAATGGCAGGGCTCTCGACCTCTTCAATGGCATCATAAAAAGCTATGAATGCTTGTACTCATTCTTTTAGCTTCGGTGGCAAAGAGAATGCCCGATGTGGAAGGCATCATGAAAAGGGTGCCATATCACGTGGGTGTGCAAGTTTTTGGCGGGAAAGACTTACAAAGCTACCGCCGTCCCCCCGGCGCGAGGTCCTCTTGCTGCCCGGCCGAGTACACATCCGGCCTCTTTCGGAACGTGAGGGAGCAGGCAGTCTATCGCAATGGCTCCAGGTGCGGGGACCAGGCATGGCGCCCTGGTGCCCCTTGCCGGCGGGACATGGCCGGGCTTTGCTTGGGCCTGGCAAGGGGTGCTGGTCAGGCGTGGCGACAGGCTCGCCATCCCCGAGGACTGCAAACATCCACAGTCTATTCTTGAAGCGCAACGGTGAAGCGATGCGAAGCCCCACCGATCCACACTTCCTCCCCGCAGGCGACAAGTCCAAGGCCGTGAAGGCCCTGAAGGCGGTGAAGAAGAGCCAGTGGAAGAAGACGAGGAAGCCTCGGTACTCCACTAGCTTCCACCGCCCCAAGACCCTGGTCCGCACCCGGGACCCCAAGTACCCGCGCGTCAGGTGCGGCCTGGTGTGGGCTGGGGATGCGGTGGTGCAGGCCTGGATGGCTCGCGTGTGCATGCTTCTGTAAGCCTCCGGAGGAGCAGCCGAAGGGTCGATGTGGTTGTTCTTGTCAATGACTGGCAGGCGCTGGGGTGATAAGCTGCTGTATGGACAAGCAGTCCCACCTGAATGGACTTGCACCCAGCTTTGGAGACACTTGCAGTACATAGCAAGAGTGTCGCCGCTGACTCTCACTCTGCACTTCATTGCATCCACTCCTTGCAGTGCTCCTGGCCAGCAGAAGCTCGACTCTTTCGCGGTCATCAAGTACCCGCTGACCACCGAGTCCGCCATGAAGAAGATTGAGGACAACAACACCCTGGTCTTCATCGTGGACATCCGCTCCAACAAGCGCCAGATCCGCGACGCCGTGGCCCGCCTGTACGACATCCAGACCCGCAAGATCAACACCTTGATCCGCCCCGATGGCGAGAAGAAGGCGTACGTGCGGTTGACGCCCGACTTTGATGCGCTGGATGTTGCCAACAAGATTGGTATCATCTGAGGAGGCGCGGCGCTGGATGTGGCTGCTGCTGTAAGGAACATAGCAAAGCTGAAATCGGCTGAATGGGTGTGTGGGTTTGGGTCCAGTAGGAGAAACGAACGGCAGCTCAAGTAGTGCAGGGGATGTTCGCGCCAACCCAGGTGTTGGGTTTCCCGCCAGGCCAGTATCGCGAACAGTCGAGAGCTGTCGCAGAGCTGTCCACGCTGGCATCCAACAGCGACCAAATCAAAGGGCATTATACCATCCCTGTAAGCGAAGTATATGCACAGGGCGTGGCAGGGAAGAACCCCGACGAGCAGTATCCGAGAGCCCTCGTTCAATTCGAATATCGACTCGCACAGGGATGTTTCCGTTGCTCAAGGATACCCAGGCTTGCACATCGCCGCGCACACCTCCGCCGGTCTGTAAAGACGGCCTGGGAAACCATGCAGGTTCATGCAAGCGGCTGAGCGGCTTCACAGACGCTGCGCAGACCGTCAGTCGTGCGTCGGTGCGCCGGCTGGCTCGCAGGGCAGGGGTGAAGCGCATCGGTTCCGAGTTCTACTCCGATGCGGAGGGGAGCCTGAGGCGCTTTTTAGGCACCCTCGTCGAGGACATCGGCGTCGTGACGGAGCATGCTCGTCGACGCACGGTCACAGTGGGCGACGTGCTCCTGGTCCTCAAGAGGAATGGCAGGTAGTGCAGGTTGCAGGCATACCGTGCTGAGGCTTGTAGCTACAGAGGTATTGGAGACAGTTCCTTCACGACACCCAGAGCGACTGAGAAGCAATCGACATCCAAAAGAATATGCTTCCACTGCAGGACCTTGTATGGCTTCGAGGAGAAGCAGCGCAAGAGGCGGCTCGTCCAGCGGTTGCCTCCCCACTCCCTGGCGGAGTCGATGGCCCGCGTCTGCAGTACAAGTTCTGAGGCACAGGGCGAGGCGACGAGCAAGTCAGCCTCGATGGAGCGTGGTGCACCGACTCAGCATGTCACAAGGCCTCCCGCAGAGGTGGCCGTAGTAGCCATGGCCGGGAGCAAGCCCACGTCCAACGGCTCGGAGCCAGGAGTGCCACAGGCACAGCTGGGTCCCCGCACCCCTGGCCCCATGACACCACACCGCGCTCAAGACATCCAGATCGGGCTCAGCACCTTCAGGGACAGCGTGCTGGAGCGCCAGGCGCGCAGCTGCGCCCCCGTCTCGCAGGCCCTGGAGTGGGTCTCGGCCGAGCTGGCGCGGACAGGGAAGGGACCCTGCTCGCGGACGGAGTTTGAGGTATGGAAAGGGGTTTGGCTTGAAGGGTGCGAGAGTGATCCATGAGTGCACTGTGTCAAGTCCAGCATCCTCATTCCATCACTTGAACAGGTGGTGCTGGACGCTCTGGACCGGCGGAATGCCATCATGCTGGATGGCGACGCAGAGTCGCCATCCAGGACCCTGTACTTCCTGTGACGACCAAGTGCCGCTCCTGTCTCCTGTTGTGACCACGCCATCGTTTCTCCTGGCGTGGCCTCTCCTGGTGTGTAAGACACCACATTGTATGCTGCTGACCTACCTCACGTCCGGTGTGATGCATGACTCCCGTGTTTCCTCTCCTGTGGCGCCCCTTCACTTGATGCCGCCGAGGTCGCCCCCTCAGGCTCTGCTGCTGCACCCTTTCTCCCTACCTCCTCTTGGGGAGCCAGACAGAGTAACAAGGGTGTGATTGTAACAACCAACAGTACCAAAAGGAAAAGATTGACAAGGGATTAAGGCAATTCTGGATGGTGAAGGTTTGCATGACGTGGGGTGGTGTCAGCGAGGCTCCTGGATAGATGGAGAGGAAGGGAGGAGCAATCGAAATCAGTGCCCTCTGCGGGGCTGGGATCTATCAACACGGGCAGAGTAACTATCAAAGAGGAATGCGGGGCAGCGGGTGATTGTGTCTAAAAAAAGTCGATGCCCCTTCGTGATTGGAGGGTGGAAGTGATGAATGTGAACCAGATTGTCTAAAGCTAATAGTGACTAGGGAACAGCAGCAACCGCCGGCCATGTGATATGGGAGCGCGCATGCTGCACTCACGAGTCCATGCAACTTGGCGGCTCACATTGAAAGCGTTGGCCCGTGTAGTTTCGCAGCCTGAGTGCCCACCTGCATCCCCTGGTTCCCACCTCAGCGCCGCTGCACATACTGGCACCGACCCCCAGCGTCCACGGCGCAGCAGGGTGGCGGCACCGGGTACCTCATGTGCGGGATGCTGGCCTGCCTGCTCTGCTCCAGCACCCACTCGAAGCCGTGCCTGAGCAGGTCGCCTGCCCTCGCCGCCAGCTGGTGCGCGGTCGGAGCGCTGAACCCCAACGCCTCGGCCCAGGCAGCGCCCTGCGGCGCCGCCAGCCGGCGCATGCACGCGGCCAGGGGCCCCGGGAAGTCCGTGCCCAGACCCTGGCGCCCCGGCGCCAGGTGGCAGCGGTAATCGAAGGCCAGGAGTGGGTTGAGCGGGTAAGGGCCCGGCGCCCCCTCCGTTGCTGGGGCCTCGGGTCCCCAGTCGTCCACGGCGCGTTCATGCTTGGCAAACTTCTGGGTGCCGGGCAGGAACATGGAGCTGGCGGCGCAGCCTGTGCCCTGCCACCACACGCCAAGCATCTGGTCGTTGTCGATCAGCGCCAGCCGGCCGCGCTCATCCACAAACACGTTGCCTGCATGGCGGTCGCACTGCCCCGTCAGCAGGTCCAGTGTAGCGGCCTGGGTGGCGGAGGGGGGTGCAAGGGGTGTCAGCAGGCAGCGATTCGTGTATGGATGCAGTTGGGGGATGGGCATGGGGAAGTCTCAGTGGCCGGGGGGGGTCGGGGCAGGCCGGATGGTGGGGTGCGGTTCCTTCACACAACGCCACGCCTCTGCCGAGGGCCTCTGCATGATCTGGAGACCCAAGGGTGAGGCAGCTCGCTCATTCCCAACCCCTCCACACACACGCTCACATACACACTTTCACACCTTGATGACCTGGTCCGAGGGGATCCTGGCCCACTCCTGCTGGGCCGCGGGGCCGCGGCTAGTCACCAGGCTCAGCAGCGACACCCCCCTGGCCACCGGGGTCATGACGGCCTTGTGCCCCTGCACCACATAGCCGCTGCCAGGCAGGATGGAGGTCACCTCCTCCGTCCACACGCGCGGCAGCATGTCCTGCGTGGCGCAGGCCTTGCTCAGCTGGCCCAGGGCCACAAGCTGCCCCGGGGAGCCGGAGGAGTAGGCGTCATCGCAGCCCCAGGGCGACCAGGTGCCTGACCGGTCCAGGGGGACGCAGTGCAGCTGCAGGTGTGCATGGGAAAGGGGAGGGTGAAGGGGTCGATGGGTCATCTGCCTCGCGCTGCGGAGCGGAATGGGATCGCAAGGCGTGCTCGGCCACCAGGCCCCTTGAGTGCATCCAGCGGCTTCATTGCAATAGACATTGTGAGGGTGGAGGGACCCAGGATACCTCCTTCAGAAGCCTCTGCCCCCACCCACTGTTCCCCGTAAGCACCTTGGCGACATCTGCACGAGTTTGCCCAATCTGTGTGGCAGCCATGGTGTAGGCCTGCGAGATGCCCTCCGGCCCGGGCTCCACCTCGCCGCCACCAAACTTCACCTTGCCGTCCAGCCTTCGGAGCGCGTGGCTGCAGCCGGCACAGCGGGGGCAGAGCGCGAGGTGCATGCGCGCCGACCCCCGCATGGGGAAGCTGGCGTTGGCGGCCGTCAGGGGCCCCGCCGCATCCAACATCTCTGCCCACGTCAGACCGGAGCCCAGCATGGCGCTGCCGTCTTCCAGCTCGCACTCTGCGCAGAATTGGCACTGGGAGACGTGGATGGGGCCGGAGGACGGTGCTCTGGAGTCCGCAGCCGGCCCAGGAGATCCAGCATCCTCGCAGTCTGGCAACTGGGACTGGTCAATCCCAACAGTCTCATTCCTCTGGGGTATATGGGGATCAGATGGTGGATGAGTATCATCATTGTAATGCCTGACAACAAATCCGAGTGTGGTCGTTCAACGCATGGCATTCATATTCAGCCCGGCATGACTGTGTGTGCCCCGACCCCTGCTTTCCAGTCTGACCGAGGGAGCAAGTGGGTCCTCTGCCACCCGGACCTGCAGAGTGAGGCCGCGCCGACTCGCCTCTCGAGTTGCCAGCACTCCTCCATGACGAACCTCTGTATATATTATGTGTGTTGGTGCTTGTTGGCTCGATTGGTTCCCACCGAGGAGAGGCCTGGGATGCTAAGAGAAGTAAACCCTAACTCAGGATGCCAGACGTAGTCAGAACACGCCATGCTGACCTGGGATCCGATGCAGCGCCGGGTCGGACCATTGAAAGCTCAACAGCAGTAACTGTGACACGAAGGAATGAAACGAGTCTGAAAGGGTCGGTGATCCCTGTCGTATTCCCCGCGCAACTCTCCCGCTCACGCACAATGAAGGCCAACACAAACGCCGAGCCGATGGTAGCAGGGACACATCGGGGTCGCCCGCGCCTTACGAATGACATGGTGTATCAGTAGCGGTCGCTACATGGTCACTGGATGTCTTAAATGAGCTAAAGCACGATTGAAGCTCAGCGGTGGGGTTCGACCATGTATGAGATACTCCTCGACCCCTTGGAAGGTGAGACTTGGGGGTTTCATGGGCGCGGGCGGGACGTCCAACTGCGGATTAAACCAGCTTAGTGTTGCGAGGTCCACAAAAAAACCCTTTCCGGAACAACTTCGACCGTCCGTGACTGGTATCAATCGCGTCCGCACCGGGAATATTCTTGGCGAGGCGTCCAACTCCCGGAGGCAGGGCGGACGAGTCTCCGTCGACAGTACTTTCCGCTCGACACATAGTCACAAGTGTGCTGTCTAGTTTGGCTGTTCAAGCCCCCCTAGGGATGCCGCAGTCGGCGTGCTGGATGTCACGCCGGGTTTCCAGACCAGCCTTCCGATCATTTGTCCATCCATTGTGTACAGCGTGGTCCCCACCCCATGATGCCTGCCAGGGCACTTTTTAGTCATACAAAAGAGATCCGGGGGCTGCTATGGTATGAGGCGCTGACGACTTGCATTTGCAAGGCTGGCTGTAAACTTCATAATGGAAAAAGGGGAAATGGGGGCAGTGGGTGGCACAGCTGATGTCCACCCCGCCCCTGCAGGGTTGTGGAGGGAAGGGCTCTCGACACCCCTCCCCGCTCAGCACAGAAACATGGGTGCATGCCGCATCGTCATGGTACTCTTCTCTCGGCAGGCTCTGTCCAGGCCTGCCGTGCACACCCCCCGGCGAGTGGGGGCCATGTGGCCCCCAAGGCCTCGCCCATGCACGCTGGGGCCCTCCTGCTCAGGCCTTCTTGGGGAAGTAGTCCTGGAGCGGGACCTGCTCCAGGGCCCCCTCCTTGAGGGCTTGCAGCGCGCCCACCGTCGCCTTGGCGCCGGCGATGGTGGTGATGATGGGCACCTTGTGCGCCAGCGCCAGCCTGCGCAGGTCCCTGCCGTCGCGCACGTCGGCCTCGTCGCCCGTGGAGGTGATGATCATCATGGCGATGTCGTCGTTGCGCAGGAGGTCAGCCGCGGAGGGCCTACCCTCCTGGATCTTGAGCACGCTGGTGACGCCGGGCACGCCCGCGGCGGTCAGGTGCTCCGCGGTGTGCTTGGTGGCCAGGATGCCGTAGCCCATGTCGGCCAGCAGGCGCGCGCTGGGCACGATGGCGTCCTTGTACTTGTCCTCCATGGTGATGAAGACGTTGCCCGAGGCGGGCAGGCGCTGGCCCGCCGCGATGGCCGCCTTGGCGAACGCCTTGGCGAAGCTGACGTCAATGCCCATGACCTCGCCCGTGCTGCGCATCTCCGGGCCCAGCAGCGTGTCGGCCCCCGGGAACTTGTCGAAGGGCAGCACTGCCTCCTTCACCGCCACGTGGCCCAGGACGGGCTCGGCGGTGAAGCCGATGTCGGAGAGCAGCGCGCCCGACATGAGGAGCGACGCGTACTTGGCCAGCGGGTGCCCCACGGCCTTGGCCACGAAGGGCACTGTGCGCGAGGCGCGCGGGTTGGCCTCGATGATGAACACCTTCCCGTCCTGCACCGCGTACTGGATGTTGAGGAAGCCCACCACCTTGAGCGCCTTGGCCAGCTTGGGGGTCCAGTCGCGGATGACGTCCAGGCACTCCTGAGGGATGGTCTGGGGCGGGATGGTGCAGGCGGAGTCGCCGGAGTGCACCCCCGCCTGCTCGATGTGCTGCAGGATGCCGCAGATGACGACGTTGCCCTCGCGGTCGGCCAGCGCGTCCACGTCCAGCTCGTCGGCGCGGTCCAGGTACTTGTCCACCAGCACCGGCCGCGCGGGGTCCACCTCCACGGCGGTGGTGATGTAGCGGTGGATGTCCGCGGCGGAGTGGACGATCTCCATGGCGCGCCCGCCCAGGACGAAGGAGGGGCGCACCATGACCGGGTAGGTCAGCCGCTCCGCGATGGCCAGCGCCTGCTCCTCGTTGGTCGCCACGCCGCCGGGCGGCTGGCGGATGGACAGCCGATCCAGCAGCGCCATCCAGCGGTCGCGGTCCTCTGCCTCGTCGATGGCGTCGGGGGAGGTGCCCCAGATGGACACGTTGCCGCGCCCGCTGGCGGCGGGGATGGGGTGCGCCTCCAGCCAGGCCGCCACTCCGGCGGCCAGCTTCAGCGGGGTCTGCCCGCCAAACTGCACGATGATGCCCTCGGGACGCTCCTTCTCGATCACGTTCAGCACATCCTCCACCTAATGAGTGGGGGTTGGGGAAGTGGGTTGGGTGGTGAGGAGGGACACACATGTTGGGACCCGAGAGCGGGCGTGAGCTGCAGTCTGAGAAACCGGTCCGTGCCCCAACCCTCCCCTCCCAGACATCCCACCGTGAGGGGCTCGAAGTAGAGGCGGGAGGAGGTGTCATAGTCGGTGGACACGGTCTCCGGGTTGGAGTTCATCATGATGGTCTCGTACCCCGCGTCGCGCAGTGCGTAGCTGGCGTGGCAGCAGCAGTAGTCGAACTCGATGCCCTGGCCGATGCGGTTGGGCCCGCCCCCCAGGATGAGCACCTTGGGCTGGGTGGTGGCCTCGCACTCGCACTCGCCGTCGTAGGAGGAGTACATGTAGGGCGTGGCGGCCTCGAACTCGGCCGCGCAGGTGTCCACGCGCTTCATGGAGGGCACCACGCCCGCGGCCACGCGCGCGGCGCGCACGTCCAGGTCGCTGGCTCCCGTGCAGCGTCCGATCTGGGGGTCGGAGAAGCCGCGGCGCTTCAGCTCCAGCAGCTCCGTGGGGGAGAGCTGGGCCAGGGTGCGCGTCTTGAGCCAGGTCTCGGCCTCGTGCAGCTCCTGGAGCTGGGCCAGGAACCAGGGGTCGATGGAGGTGTACTCGTGCACCTCCTCGATGCTCAGCCCGTCCTCCAGCGCCTGCTTGATCACCACCATGCGCTCCGGGTTGGGCACGCGCATGTTGTACTGCAGCTTGTCCGGGGTCTGGCGCTTCCAGTTGGGGGGAAGGCTCCAGCCGTCCAGCCCCGTCTCCAGCGAGCGCAGCGCCTTCTGGAAGGACTCCTGGAAGGTGCGGCCGATGGCCATGGCCTCGCCCACCGACTTCATCTGGGTGGTCAGCACGGGGGCGGCGCCCGGGAACTTCTCGAAGGCGAAGCGCGGGATCTTGGTGACCACGTAGTCAATGGAGGGCTCGAAGGACGCGGGCGTCTTGCGTGTGATGTCGTTGGGAATCTGGTCCAGGGTGTTGCCGCAGGCCAGCCGCGCTGCCATTTTGGCGATGGGGAACCCCGTGGCCTTGGAGGCCAGGGCGGAGGAGCGAGACACGCGCGGGTTCATCTCGATGATCACCATGTCGCCGTTGGCCGGGTTGATGGCCATCTGCACGTTGGACCCGCCGCACTCCACCCCCATCTCGCGGATGATGGCCACCGAGGCGTCGCGCAGGCGCTGGTACTCCTTGTCCGTCAGCGTCTGGGAGGGGGCCACGGTGATGGAGTCCCCAGTGTGCACGCCCATGGGGTCCACATTCTCGATGGAGCAGATGATGACCACGTTGTCTGCCAGGTCGCGCATCACCTCCAGCTCAAACTCCTTCCAACCCAGCAGGGACTGCTCGATCTGGACCTGCAAGCAGGTG